GCACTTGAGCACATATGTCAGCGGAAAACCGAAAGGATTTGAACTGACATATCGAACGTGCGGCACTCTCATACAGGGCTCTGCATCACGTTGTTAAAACTGTCCAGCCCGCCCTGCGAAGACGAGTGCCAGATCTATTAGATGACAAGCGCAGCCCCGACCGGCGCCGACGACGACGACGACGGGCAGGAGCGCTTCTTTTCATCATATGTGTGAAGCACGAGCCAGGCACGGCAGATATCTGCCGGACGAGAGGTACTAGCATTGACCACCTATTGTACGGACGGCGAGGCACATACAGATGAGGTCCCATACCCCATAAGGAAGACATGGCCTGTAGCTTTAGCAGCAAAGGCCGAAAAATATGAAGGTAGCTAGATGTGGTTAGCGGGCGGCTTACATACTAAATCGGCCATGGTTTGCCGTGGCTTTTTCAGAACCGCTTCTCTGGCGATTTTAGCCAGCACCGTGCACAGACTAGCGGGATAGGCGGCGGCCAACGCAGTGTATTTACAGCCCTCTGGGGCCTGGCCCGTGAGAATGGTATGCCGATTTCCAGTGCGAGAGCAGAGACCCCGGCGGCCCTTACAGAGCCGATGCAGGTCGGTAAGAGGGCCCGTCCTCCAGGCCGCGATCCTGGTCCTTTTCTGCCAGGGTGTTCCGAATTGGCACTGATCAAAATCACACACACGAGCACACTGGGAAATGATGAGGGACGAAAGAAGCTTTGCATGCCACATTAAAGAACTGGCAGGGTTCTCGAGCAGCACGGGTATGTTTAACTTACAGCATAAGCGTATGATGCGGCATGTGAAGTAAAACGAGGCGTTGCCTGTAGTCAGGCGGGCGATCTCAGATGTCGAAAGGCCGCTGATGCCCATCGGATGGGCGCGCGACCTCAGAGCCTTCCGGAGCGCACGAGACCACGTCGTGCAGGGCGTACCGAGGAAGACGGCTGCCACGGCGCGGCTGCGGAGCCAGCCGGTCACCACCCGCTCGAAGTCGCGGCGGCAGTGGTCCTCCAGCGGCGACAGCCGAAAGTCCAGGCCGAGCGCCGACAGGCCCAGGCGGCGGGCGGCAGCTGAGAAGTGGCCACTGCCGCAGAAAAGCTCCAGCACCACCCGACGCCGGCACAGCGAGCCGCGGCTGACCGCAGCCTTGAAGCGGCGCCGCAGGTGGTCGGCGCATTCGGAGCCGCCCGGCCGCGGCCGAAGACGCCCCGAGCTGACGGCAGCGCTGGCGCCGGCAGGGCTGGCCGCGCTCAGCTGCGGCTGGCAGGCCGCCGCCTCACACGCCTGGACTGCGATGGCCCGCCCATGAGCGCCTCCTGCAGGCTGGCCGGAATGAGCCGCTGCAGCCCCGCGCCTGCGAAGCCCTTCTCGATCAGCAGCGCGAAGCTCTGCGCGACCAGGTTGCCGAATGCGTACACGTCCGGATGCACGCCCTGCAGCTCGCGCAAGAGGGCCGTCTCCTTCGCGTACCTCCGCATCGAGGATGGCACAGCCCAGCGGCCTCGCCGGTAGACCTGCTCCTGCGACCTCCGCTGGGACAGGAGGTCGTCGCTCACTCCTCCGTGCCTCATCCCGTACAGGTGGGGACGCAGATGGGAGAGACCCAGCGCCGCCGCCGCCAGCATGAACATCCTGTTCAGGTCCCCGAGGGAGAAGCTCCACAGCGGCGTGCCCGGGCCCCCCCGACAGCGGAGCGCCATGAGCACCGGCACCAAGTACAGGTCGAGGTCGAAGAGGATCGACTCGTCGAAGGCGCCCGTCTTGCCCGCCTGCCCGCGGTCTGCGGGGTGGAGGAGCAGGCCCCAGAACTGGTAAGCTGGCCCCGCTGACGCCGAGGGCTCCACAATGCTGTCCGTGGTCAGCCGCTGAGCCTCGGCAGGCCTGAGGTATGCCGAGAACGCAATCGCCAGCCACGCCGCCATGGGTGCCTGCTGCCAGGCGATCAGGACGCCCGCCAGCGCGAACATGACCGCCCTCGGGATGGGCAACCGCGTGAGGGTCGGGGCCCGCCTCCGCCACGCCTGCATCGCGCGTGAGGCGCGGGGCAAGAGCGAGCCCACCCGCCTGGGGAGCCCCGGCGTGAAGTGCGCCAGCGCCGCCACCGTCTGCGATCCGACGCTCGCCGCCGCCCCCGAGATGTAACGAGAGGTGAAGTACTCGGCGAGCAGGCGGTCCAGCTCGCGCAGGTTGCTCCAGTCCCGGCGGTGGTCGTAGCAGTACGTGATGAACGTCTGCAGGAGCTGGCGGTACAGGGCCTCCGTGTTCGGCCTCACGGCCAGCTGCTCCAAGAGCGTCAGGGCGCCCACCAGCGGCCGCCCGTGCGCCGCCGCCGCCGCCAGCTGGGCGCGCCGGCGAGTCCGGGCGGAAGGCGTAGGGGCCCTCTGCCTCGGCATGGCCTGCGCCTCGCGCGCCAGGAGCCCGAACAGAAGGCAGAGCGCCGCGACGACCGAGGCGGGTCCTCGCATGGCCAAGGTGTCGATGGCCGGTGAACCAGCCGAGCTTGCCTCTACTGAGGCCGTCCGCTGGGTTACGCTCCGAGGCGATCCAGCGGACGAACAACTTCGAGCCAGTGGCCAAGGACAACGCACACAGCTGGTTCAGGCACGACCTCAAGTGTTTTGACCGAGCCCTTCCTTTTGCACAGGCGAGGGCTAAGGGGAGGTTGTCCACGAGGGCGACCATGCGAGCCCCATGAGCGCCCAGACCTCGGAGGAGATGCCGATAGGACGTGACCAGAGCCTCCCCCTCCAAGTACAATATGTTGGCCCCCGTGGAGACCGACTGCGCCGAGACTGACTTCCAGGCATCCATGCGGGTAAGGTGCCCAGGAACCTCCTCCATGTCCCAAGAGTCGCCCACGCCGTAAGAGGCATCAGCACGCGGGAGGCTGTTGTCTGCCATGAGCTCCACGTGGGGGTCCCCGTGCTGGCCCTTGGAGATGAAGGGGTCCTCGTGCAGGCCCACGTGCTCCTTGTAGGGGTCCCCGTGCTGGCCCACGAGCTCCTCGTAGGGGTCCCCCTGCAGGCCCAAAGAGGTACACGTAGCTCCCGAGACACACGACGGCGCCGGACATGCTTGACCGCCCGCAGGGCTGACATGATGAGCACCGAGCTGTGAAGGGTCGATTGGAGAGTGAGGCCAAGAGGGGTCGACGTTTTCTGACTCAACGCTGGGACGCTCCAAGCCGCCCTCTAGCAGTGACCGGAGCCGAGCCTGGTGCCCGCCCTCGACCTTGAACCGCCACTTCTCCGAGCAACGGCCGACGGCGGCGCAGACGGCGCGAGGCGCGCGTCTCCGCATCACCCCAAGTCCGAAGGGCGATGCGTCGCTAGCCGTCAACGTGGGGTGCCACGCGGACGCGAGGTCGCCGGACAAGACGGGCAGGAGGTCACGGATGATAGTTAACTCCTTCGCCGCCGACGCCCAGATCCTGCCCTGCCTCTCGCCGTACGCCGCCACGAAGCCGTAGACGCTATGGAGCACGGTGAGGACCTCTCGGCGAATCATAGACGACCATGTCACATGACCCAGAACTGCTCGCATCATGTGGCCGCTGCACCAGCCACGCCTCAGAAGCCCAGTGATTGCCGAGTGCAGCCGCCAGATGTTCCGCGGCTTGATCCGGAGGTACCTCCCGTGCTTCAAGCTGAGGCCCAAGAAGTCCAGGTCCTTCGCGGCGGGCTCGATCTCATGGACAGGAAGCCCTCGGGCGCGGAAGGCGGCCACCAGCCGTGTCATAGCCTGGTCGACCGCGCCCTTCTCAGCACCGAACGCCAGGATGTTGTCGACGTAAGCCCCGACGCCGACGGAGACCGGGTCGGTGACTACAACACCAGCTTGACCGTCCATGGCTGTCATGGTCCTCTTATGGCCCTCATCAACAAGGACTGAGCGCGCAGCCGACTGGCAGAAGTGCAACGCCCACGAGAAGCCCATCGGGAGGACGGTCACCATGGGCGTCACGCGCGAGAGAGGATCGAAGTCAAGGTCGATCATGCCGAGCTCTTGCAGCACGGCGACCGAGATCGACGGCAAGGTGAACAGCGTCTCCATCCCGCGCGGCAGCCGCATGTGGTAGAAGGCGCACTCCAGGTCGCACGTGGAGAGGTACATGCCGTCCGCCGGGGCTTCGATAGCGCCGAAGGACGCTGCAGAAGGAAGCCTCGTGGCCGGCGGATCCAAAAACTTGCAGTTGGCGGCCCTCGTGTCGAAAATTATCCGGAGGGCCCCCGACTTCTTGGGCACAAAGAAGAGGCCGACGGTGTGCGGCTGACCGCTGTCGGCCGCGAAGGTGACCATCTGCCTCCGGTGCATCTCCATCAAAAACTGGCCGTAGGCAGTCGCGTCCCGAAACAGGTTCGGGTCGCAGTACGGCCCGCGTGGGCAGGCCGAACGTGCCAAGGCCTCGGCGGACTGCCGTTCTCGAAGCATATGGCTCTGCCATCCCTCCAGCCAGGCCTTGTCATGGGGCTGCACAAGCCCGACGAGCTCGACGGGCGCAGCACCTTCAGCGGGCCATGCGACACGGTCGCGGACGTAGGGGGACGACGAGGCGGCGCCCGAACCGTAAAGGTTGGCGCAGGAGAGGAGCTCCCGGAGGGCCCCGTCTTGACCAGCACGCGTGTCACTGAACTCGGGCGGCGGCGCGCCCAGCTCCTTGACGCAACTGTCGATATGCATGATGGCCTGGCGCTGCCCCTCGTGCGCTGCAGATGGAGGCGAGGACCGAGAGCCATAAAGTGAATTGAGTGCATTGGTGGCCGCTCGAACGCGATCATCATGATGAATGCGAAGGCCGCGCCGACGAGCAGCGCGACGACCGCCAGGCTCCATCCCGCGCGGAGCAGCGGCCGGCACGACCGGCAGCGGGAAGACGTCGCGCTGGCGGCGTGTCCCCGGCGGCCGGGGGCCTGCGGCGAGAGCCGCACAGCAGTCCCGAGGGGAGGCTGGCCCATCTGCCCCCCCTCGGCTCGTCTCAGGCATCGGCGCCTGGGGTATTGCCGCCCCCACGGCCCCGTCGCCCACGGCCTCGGCCGCCGCGGCCACGGCCTCCGCGCCCCTCGGCGCCGCCAGAGCCAGCCGCGCCGGTCCCGGCGGCCAAGGCACGCTCCTCGCGAGCCTTGCGCCGCTCCTTGGCAATCGCCGCCTCGCGCGACTTCTCGGCGGCCAGCCAGTCGCGCAGCGCCGGGGCCATGCAGATGCCGCTGCCCGCGTCCTGGACGCCGGACAGCAGCGCAGCGTCGTTCCCGTGCTCGGACGTGGGCGCGAACCTGTCGCGGTACAGCTCCTCCTGGGTCTGCAGCGTGCGGCCGACCAGTTCCATAGAAGCTAGATTGGTCGCATGAGTCTGATCATACACGACTCCGAACTCCAACAGCCTGCAGCACAGTAGGTGCACGTCTACCCCCGGGTCCTCGTCGTCCAGGTAGGCCTCGGCCTTCCACTTGGTGTGGCGACCGAGGGGTGTGCCACCGTTCCGGCAGATGTAGTTCAGCACCCACAACAACGTTCTGGGGCCTTTGAGCGGCCAGTCATGCCAAGGTAACTCGTGCATCCTCATTACGGCCGTCCTGAAGTCGACGTAGCGGACCCCTTGGGAGTCCAAGACGATGGCCTGCATCCGCGCGTCGCCGCCAGGGGCCGCCGCCACCGCGGCGAAAGCATTCGCCAGGGCGCCTGCCCCTAGGTCAGGCCATCCGGGCGCAACGGCCGCGGCAGCGGGCGCGGCGGCCGCGGGTGCGGGGACGCCCACGGGCCCAGCGGCCAACGGAGCGCCAGCCGCGGGAGCTGCGGCCACCGGCACCAGCCCGCCTCCCGGCGCGGGCCCAGCGGGCGCTGCGGCCGGCACGAGCGCGCCCGCCGCTGCTCCAGGGGCCGGGGCTCCGACCGCAGCGGGCGCACCCAGGGCCGCCGCGAGGCCCGCCACGCCGCCAGCGGCCGGGCCGCCCGCGGCGGCAGGGGCGCCAGCAGCAGCAGGCGCGGGGGCCGGCGGCGCGATGACCCGGCCCACGGTGTTAAGGGCCACGGCCGGACCCGGAGCGAGCCCGAGAGTGCCCCGGGTGGCGGTGGCCGCGGCCGCGACGGCCGCCGGCAGAGGCAGGGCGCGGAACCGGTAGACCTGATCCCCGCCCGTCGCCGCCGAGTTGCCTCCAGCGGCGCCTCCAGCCGGGATGCAGAACTCTGCCACGTCCGCGCCTCCATTCGCGATGACCTCGACGTAGCCGTGGCCGTCCGGGGTCAGGATCCCGCATCCGAACGGCGCGACGGGCTGGAAGGCCAGGATGAGGCGCTCGTGCCAGATCCTCGCCCCCCCGACCTGGTATCTGATCAAGATGAAATCTCCCTCGTCCAGGCCGAGGAGGGCGAGGGGATGGCCCGCTGCCGCGGCGGCCGCCGCCGACATGGCCTCACTGGACCTGCAGCCGCCCGCGAACCAGAGCAGCCTGGGCCCGGGCCTCCTCCTCGAACTGGTCGATCGCCGCCAGAGCCCGCGCCGGAGCAGGCGGAGCGAACCCGCGGCCCAGCACCGCGCCTGCGGCCAGGCCCAGCACCGCGGCCAGCACGACGGCTGACAGCGGCCAGGTCCCCACCTGAGGTGGGCAGTCCTGTCTGTGAGGTTCCAGCCCGCTGCCGCACACCAGCGAGGGCTTGCAGGTGCACGGAGGACACTCGGGCTTCGCAGCCCAGATCGCCAGGCTCGTGGTGGCGGCGCGGACCGCTTCGGTCGAGAGCCACTCGCTGAAGCTCATCGAGCGACCTTCCTCAATGCACTTGAGCACATATGTCAGCGGAAAACCGAAAGGATTTGAACTGACATATCGAACGTGCGGCACTCTCATACAGGGCTCTGCATCACGTTGTTAAAACTGTCCATATATATATATATATATATATATATATATATATATATATATATATATATATATATATGTACCCCAAAAGGGGCCGATGGAAAACACACAGGGCGGGCATACAAGGACTGGCGCACACGGGTTAAATTGCACACGAGCAGATAAGAACATACATTTTTTTATAATAAAAACGTGTTCTCAGTATTAAATGCTCATGTCTAAAGAATAATTGTTGCTAATCCACCCTCCCTGGTAACCATTGCATTTTTCACATGAAAATGCTTCCCCCCCCGAGGCTCGCACCGTGTTTTTCGTTCAAAGGGGAATGCCGTGTCATCAAACTGCGCCCCGTGCCCTCGGTTTACAAAATCAGCGGTTCCCGCCTGATGCATCCTCACAATGTGTTCCCACATCGCGCTCTCGCGTGGGACGCCCTCACAACACATGCAGACATCGCGCTCTCGCGTGGGATCTCGTCGCAAGGTATTCAGACGCCGCGACCTCGACACTGAAAACGTACGCTCTCGCTGTGCATTTCCAAACGAATTACTTGGGAATCGCGCTGTCGCTCGAGAGTTCCTCGCGGTTCATGCAGGACGCACGCTTCAGCAACCCGCCTGCTCGACCTGGCCGCCTGGGCCCGCCTTCCAGACCCGCCTGTCAGGGTCCACCCGCCTGATCAGACCGTGTGGTTCTGCCACGTGTTTTCTGCTCTTCCCCCCCTCCTGCTACTTTCTGTCGTGTTCCATCTGTTTCGCTCCCCTTGTTTGTCCCTTCCTTCCTTCCTTCCATCCGTCCTCTCTTCCCCTGCCTTCGGGGCTGCACGAAAGATACGCTGCAGGTAATTGAAAAAGATCTACCCTCGACGGGGCGCGATCGAAGACGAAGAGGGCGGGTATCGAGGGCATTGGGAAAACGTGTCGAATTGCAAGCGAGCGGATAATAACGAACAATCATAACATGATTGCTTCCGTCGTTAAACTCTCGCGACTGACAAACCAATGTGTGATCCCCCTCCGGGGCATATTCAACTTGCCAATGGAAATGTAACCCCGGGTCTCGCACCCTGCTGCTTATCAGGGAGAGTTCTGGGTCTCAGAATTGGGGCCCTGGCACCGAGTTACAACAACAACGGCTCCCGCCTGATACATCCTCACATTTGTTTCCCAAATCGCGCTCTCGCGCGGGACGTCCTCACAATACATGCAGAAATCGCGCTGTCGCGTGCGATTTCCTCACAATAGATTCGGACGCCGCGCCATCGACACTCAGGAATCACGCTCTCGCTTTTGCCTATCTCACGATTTAATGGGACTCGCGCTATCGCGCGAGACTCGCGATTCACGCAGGACGCACGCTTCAGCAACCCGCCTGCTCGACTTGGCCGCCTGGGCTCGCCTTCCTGACCCGTTTGTCAGGGTCTACCCGCCCAATCTGCCCGTGTGGTTCTGCCCCGTGCGTTCTTCTTGTAGCCCTCCCCCTGCTACTCTGTATCTCTCGTCCGTGTTCCATCCTTCTCCCTCCCCCTCTTGTCCATTCCTTCCATCCGTCCTCTCTTCCTTTGCTTTCGGGGCTGCATGGGATACTGCTACAGGAAAGAAATATATGCCCCAAGGGGGTACGACCGAAAACGGGGAAGGCGGGTATCGAGAGTTCGGGATATACGTGTTGAATGACACGCACGCGGATGCGAGCGAGCAGTTTTTAACATATTGTTGCTGTTGGTGTTGCTGTTGTTGTTGGTGTTGCTGGTATGGATTGCTGCTGTTGTTCGTGTGGTTGTGGTTGTAACTGTGAGTGTGGTTGCTGTTGCTGTTGTGGTTGTTGTTGTTGTTGTTGTTGAAATCTCACTACTAAAGAATACGTGTTATTGGTCCCCCCGGCAGGTGGCCATTGTGTTTTTCAAATGAAGTGTTCCCCCCAGGGCCCACACCGTGTTATCAGGCAGAAGCACTAAGCTCAAACTGCGTTGTTGGCCCCCAGATTACGTCAGCAACGGCTCCCGCATGAGACCTACTCTCAATTTAGCCAGGACCCCCGCTCCCGCCTGAGACTTCCTAGTCTTTTCTTATGGAATCGTGCTCTCGCTTGGGGCTTCCTTACAGCTTATGCAATAATCACCCTCTCGGCAAAACAAAAACAACTCGCTGGAGACTCGCTCCCAATTTACTCCAGAATCGCGCTCTTGCGTTGGAACTCCCAGCAAGTTACTCAAGCGCCGCGCTCCCGACACCCAGGCGCTCAGGATTCGTGTTCACGCTTCGGACCCCCTCACAGCTTATTTAGGAATCGGGATCTCGTTGGCTGCCCTTTCGTGGCCGCGTTGCAGCCCTTTGTGGCCTCCTCGCTGCCCTTGATGGCCCCGTTGCATCCCTTCGTGGCCCCCTCGCTGCCCTTCGTGGCCCCGTTGCAGCCCTTTGTGGCCCTCGCCGCCCTTCGTGGACCCGTTGCAGCCCTTCGTGTCCCCCTCGCTGCCCTTCGTGGCGCCTTTCCGTGGCCCCGTTCCAGCCCTTCGTGGCCCCCTATGCCCCCTATCGCTGCCCTTCGCGGCCCCGTTGCAACCCTTGGTGGCCCCCCTCGCTGCCCTTCGTGGCCCCGTTGCAGCTTTTCGTGGCCCCCTCGCTGCCCTCCGTGGCCCCGTTGCACCTCGTCGTGGCCGCCTCGCTGCCTTTCGTTGCCCCGTTGCAGCCGTGCGTGGCCTCTCTCGCTGCCCTTCGTGGCCCCATGTATGCATGCCCTTCGCGGCCCCCGCTCGTTCGCGCCCGTCGTGGCCCAATATGCATGCGTTTCGTGGCCCCGCTGTCGCCCCTTTTGGCCCCTTCGCTGCAGTTCGTGGCCCCGTTGCAGCCCTTCGCGGTCCCCTCGCTGCCCTTCGCGGCGCCCTTGGTGGCCCCGTTGCCGCCCTCAGTGGCCGCGTCCTTGCCCTCTGCGGTTCAACATGCGCGTGCCCGTCGTGGCCCCTGTTCGTTCGCGCCCGTCGTGGCCCCATCTGCATGCCCTTCGTGGCCCGGGTGACGCCCTTTGTGGCCCCCTCGCTGTCCTACGTGGCTCCGTTGCTACCCGCAGTGGTTTCGTCGTTGCCCTCTGTGGCCCCGCATTATCTGCCCTTCGTGGCCCCCGCTCGTTCGCGCCCGTCGTGGCGTGGCCCCGCTGTCGCTCTCGCTCGCGCTGTCGGTATCGCTTTCGCTCGTCGTGGTCGTCGTGATCGTTGTAGTCGTGGTCGTGGACGTGGTCGTCGTCGTGGTCGGTCCCCTGTTTGTCCCTCTTGGGGTCGGGTTGCCGCCGATCAGCCCCACCGCTGGCCAGGCCGACAGTCCGCGGCCACCCCGCCGCTTGCCGGGGCCCGTCCTGCAGGGAAGAAAAAGGTACCTCCCAAAAGGGGCACAATCGAAAACGAAGGGGGGGTATCGAGGGCTTGGGAAATACACGTTGAATGGCACTCGGGCAGATAAGAGCGAACAGTCTTAAAATGAGTGGTGTTGTTGTTGGTGCTGCTGTTGTTGTTGTCGTTGTTGTTTGGGATGTGGGGCTCAACCCCGACACGCTTGAGCGTAAGCCCTATTTTCGGGTGGAAGTGCAGCCAGCGCCGAGGCGAGGACGCCAAAGCGGATACAGTAGGCCCAGCAGGAATAACTGCATGATGACTAATTCTCAACAGCAGGAACGATCAATTTAAGACCCGTCGCTCTCATACGCCCTCGTGTGACTCAACATGTATATCGTATGTCCCAGACTCCAGCAAGCGCCCTCTTCGTCTTCGATCATACGCCCCTTAGGGGGATATCTTTCTTACCTGCCACATGTAGTTGACGCGGCCCCGGACACATTGGAAGGGAGGAGGGAAGGGACAACGGGGAGAGAGAGGATGGAGCACGACAGCAATTTGCACGAGGGGGTTCAAAGCAGAACAACAAGCGGCAGAACCAGACGGGCGGGTCGGGCGGGCGGGGCCTACCGAGCGCGTGTGGCGGGCAGGCCAGACGGCCTTGTCGAGCGGGCAGCTCGCTGAAGCGTCAGTCCTGCATGAATCGCAAGCAAATCGTGAGGAAGCCCTGAGCGAGAGCGTGAGAAGTCCCACGCGAGAACACAAGTCCTACGAACATTGTGAGGAAGTCCCGCGCGAGGGCGCGGTTTTGACATATATATAGTGGGGAAATATCAAGCGGGAGCCACTGTTCTTGTAAACCGGGGGCCAAGGGCGCAGTCTGCTGCGCAAAAGTTCCCCTTGTGAACAACAGGGTGCGAGCGCCAGGACTGGCACTTCAATGGGAAAAACACAAATGGCAGCGCAAATGGAGGGATCAACAATAATCATTCTTTAGGAATTAAAGATTTAACAGACGGTCGTCATCCTTGCATTTTCTCCGTCCTGATCCTCCTCCTCCTCCTCCTCCTCATCGTCATCATCATCGTCCTTGTTTCCGGAACCATCGTCGTCGCCATCGTCATCGTCATCGCCATCCTCATCGTCATGTGTTTCTAGACCACACGCGCCTGCAATCTAGCCTAACAGGGATTCGCCAGCCCGACGGACTACAAGCGTGTTCCGATCTGTGGAAACATGTCGAGAACCTTTCCGGTTTGCAGACGCAAGACCCGCCAACCCGCCTAGGGAAGCCACCGACGAAACTCAGCATCTGTCCCCTCCTCAGCCACTTCATGCCCTCCTTCCCCCTCCTCCCTTCTCTCCCAACCAAATAAGTAGTTCCCATGCGGCCTCAAGTCCCTCCAGATGGCTGCAACAAATCGCTCCAGACAACCTGACGCGACCCCCTTTAAACCTTAAGGCACATCAGCACTGCTTCCTGACAACTCCTGACATTCTTGTCCAGATACTCTATCGACACGGCGCTCCTGACAAGCCCAAGGCAAACGCCAAAGGTGCGAACTTGAGGGCCTGCGGAATGAGCGAAACGACTAAATTAAAATTTAACAAACTGCACTTCAAAACGCTGGCCGTCCGACCTGGACTGGAAATGTAATATTAGATGTGTTATGGATGGCTTGAAAGTGCACGCTCTGAAACATTGAAGAGCGAATCCCGCATAGACCCTTAGTATGCACATTGGAACAACTGCTCGGCTGATTCTGCCGAGATGCCTGCACCTACGTTGGCTGCACGCTCATGGGCCAGTCAATGTTCAGGAAGAGCACGTGTAGCAACACTAAGGCAGGTAAACAACGCCAAACTCATGGCGGGATGGAACCGTCTGCAGTGCCATCATCGTAAGCCGCACGGCTCATCGTGTGCTCCGCCAGGTCGCCAGAGAACTTGACCTTCACGATCCACCCCTCTCCCTCTGGGGAAGAATTTATGAGCTCTGGCTTGGTTTCCAAGGCCGTGTTAACTGCTACGATCTCGCAATCGCACACTGCGTTTGCGGCGCTGATGGTCTTCACGCTCTCGATGCTACACATCTCCTCCTTCTTGCCGAACCTCGCGCCGACCTCGGGCAGCTCGAGAAGCTGCACCTCGCCAAGCTTCTCCTGCGCAAAATCGGATATGCCCACAGTGCCCACCCCGGGCTCCTCTTGGGGCGGACAAGACGACAGCGATGCCGCTGTTCCCTGGATCTTTCCCTGGATGTCAGCCCGTGCAGCCACGACGACGACGACGACGGCCCCCACGCACACGGAGACACCCCAAAAGGGCGAGAACGGGGGAAGGGCAGCGGCAGCGGCATCGGTATCTTTGGACGCAAGCAGAATCAACGGAGCGGCGAAAAGAACAGAGCCTTCAGCGAGAAGACACAGCGGCCTTGCGCGGTGGCTCACGCGGGTCGCCAGCGCGGCACGCCACATTCTGAATGACGGCGCTGACGCGCGACCATACGCGTGCAGCTTACGCGCATATGTCGATGAAGACAACACAGTTTGCTTGCCTTGCTCAGTTGAGGATAAAAGGGAATATCTGAGAGCTGGTGGCTCTGGAGGATGTAACAAGCGCCGCGGCTACTCCGAAGTGTCCCCGAACGCTGTGAGAGCGCTCCAGAGCGCTCATGAGCGATTCATCCCCATCCTCGGCCTACCTGATATCTGTTTCCTTCTCTGACCCTGTGCCCGGATCCACTTCTGCGTGTCCGTGAAGGTCGGCGGCTGCAACGAGGGCGGATAGCCCAGGCGCGAGCATTACACGTTCTCGCCGGGGAGACTCGTCGAAGACATTGGCGATCGGGCCCCCCGTGGGTTATCAGCCCCTCCAGCAGCCGTCGAGAAGAGCCTGCCTGCGAAGTGCCCGACGCGCCGGAGCGACTCATATCCTCCGCTCGAAACGTGCTCCAAAGCGTAACGGGAGGCTCCGAGAGCGTTGGGGAACGCTGTCCACTACATGCCAGAGAGACCTTTGATGCGCGGCTTCGAGGCGCGGGGGAGGCCGAACCCGAACGCGTGCGCCTCCATCGCATCGCATTCCGCGATCCGGGGACTTCAGTGGGCCCGCACCAAAAGGCCACTCCGGCGAAGGGCCACGCCCTCGAGGCGGCCATGGGGTCTGCGCTGGTTGGGCCTCCTCGCACCCAGCACCTCGGACCTCGCGACCCCCGCCCTCCTGCTGCCAGGAACCCGATGCGGGGCCGCCTCAGACCCCCCAGCCAGCTCCAACTTCCCACGCTGCTTTGGCTGCGCGCACAGGCGAGCAGGGGGAGGGGGAAAGGCTTCTTAGAAGGAGCCTTCACCCTCCCCCATGCCCCTATCTGCGCATGGCCAACTAGGCGGCGATCGAGAGGGGGGAAGTGAGAAGGAAAAGCCCTTCTCAGAAGGCGCGTGGCTTCTCACGAGCCCTCGCGCCTTCTAAATGGTTTCCTGTGTCTTCGGGGAAGGCTTAGGACACTTCTCGGAAGGCCGGGGGACTTCCGAGCCTTCTGGGAAGGCCCGCCCTTTAAGCCACTCCCTCCCTTGCTCGCCGCCGACCGACTGCTCCTCCGTACGGATCCACTCGTGCGCATCCCGGCGCTGGGGGGGGCTTTTCCCTGGCGCCTCCCGCCGCCCGGCAGGGGCCCATTGACTGCGGAATGGGCCTGGCGGCGGAGGCCGAAACCAGCTGCATGCGACAGATTTCGTTGCCCCACCCCCCCTCCCTATTAGGGGGCCACATGCGAACCCTATCCCTACCCCCTACGATTTCTGAGGGGGAGGGTGGGGTTCACTTCGTTCGGGAGCTCCCGAATGAAATGAACCCCACCCTCCCCCTCAGAAATCGTGTGGGGTGGGGGTAGGGTTCGCATGTGGCCCCCTAATCCTACCCCTCCGTCTGGCCCGATCCTCCACTCGGATCCACTCGTGCGTGTCCGTGAAGAGCACGTCCGCAAAGCGCCGGACGCCCGGAGCGATCGGCGCCGCGCACGCCCGCGACGGCCACGGCGCTGGCCAAGCTCGACGCGGCCAGGCTGTGCACCGCGCGGAACCACCGCGCGGCACACGCCCGACGCGGAGGAGGGCAGAGGCCGTGCTCATCGCGCAGCGCTGCGCTCTGGGCGGGTGGCCCAAGTCTCGAGTCAAAAGCTGAAGGCTACAGTCCACCTGTGTAAGAAGGGCGTGCGATACGGATGCACGGGCCTGGGAAGGCCATGTCGACACTCTGCCAGCGGGGCGCAGCCAGCGAAAACGGCCAATAATTGGCCGAAAGGGAAGAATGTAAGGCCCCTTGTTGCCCATTCGCTTTGGGCGGTCTTCTGGCGGTCTTCTGGCGGTCTTCGGCGGGTTCAGGCGATCTTCGGCAGTCGGCGGTCTTTGGCGCGAAAGCTGGATGGTTGCGTGAATACCTAGCGAAGGGGAACCTGTCGAAGTGTTGTGGTGACTTCGTCGGCTCCTGGGGGCTCCCCTGCCCTGGGCAGCATTCCAGCAGCTGCGCTTCGCCGAGAGCGTTCCAAGGGTGCCTGCATCGGCCCTCGTCGTCTATTCTGAACATGGGTCCTCTCTAATCGTTCACTACAATTGGAAGAGATGGTGCCGGAGTCGGTACCCAAATCATAGTCGTCGCCTGCCGTGTAGCCGGATTCCATTGGGTTTGCTTCTCACCAACTGGTGGATGCGTGGTGAAGGGCAACAACCGTACGGCCTAAGCGCCATGTTGACGGGTCCTCGTTGTTATTGGGAGCTTGGTGCCTTGACAGTAGGGCAATGGTCTCACCAACCTCGTCTGCCTAAACACTGTTTCTGCTTCCCTGCCTGTTTCCCGGCTCTGACGCGTCAGCATGGTAGGTGTGGTATGTTGGGCCGGTCCCACGGCTGCCACATCCGAATACAGAACCGATATTTCTTGGGGGCCACTCGGCGATGTGGCCCACTAACCGCCGCATTCGCTCGAGTAGTGTTTTGCCTTCCGCTTGGGTGCGTAGCATCTGGTGGTTGAGGGGTTGCAATACTTGCATGGCCCTCTGAATGCCGACTTCCAAAGCACGGAGTAGGACAGCGGCTAGTTAGAAGTTGGAAATTCGGCATGTCGAATCCAGCCGATCGGACTTCGAGACGTGGCATTTCAAACCTAGCCAAGGTTGCATCAAGGCGTTCACTGCCTGGCACGTGGAAACCAATCAGCTGGGTACCTGAGGCGAGCTGTCGCTCATCGTCACGGCGTTCCAGCTCCATGCTCAACATAAACATGATGTAGGTTACAGGGTCAGTGTGAATGCCGCGTATGCTGACACGAAACAATGATGTCTGGATGGATGCGCTTGGCGAGATTGTAAGACCACCAAACCCTCGCAGAAGGGCGGCTGCTTGTTGCCGTTGGGTCATGCGCGAACCTGCGAGTACAAAACAAGCGTTTACCTCCAAGACGTATTCCCGAAATGGGATATTCCCGGCTTGTCCCCAGCACGGGGAAATGGTGTCATTGTTGCTTCCTTCACCTCTGCGCTTCTAGCCGATCGCAGATCCGACGTTGAGCCGTTCGGTAGTGTCGACAACCAGTCCTACCACATTCAGTCTTGTGGTGTGTTGCTCAGGTCGGGTCGGCTCTGTCGCGTTAGGCTTGTCGGCTCGGCTCTGTCGTGTTAAGCTTGTCTCCAAGCTCAACCCACGGGGTCGCGGATGGAGTATGAGCTCGCAGTCGGAAGCAGCAGAACGTCCGAAACGAGCGCGCCATAGAAGAGTAACAGGTGGAGACTCAATATGGAAGCCAACCCCACGAGAGCGCAGCCAGCTCTGCTACCTAGTCGAAAGCAATTCGGTCAAGTTATATCGTAGATTGCTTCCTTGCATAATGGAAGTACGAAGCATAATGTACAGGGTGAAGAGCAGGATGATCAGCTCATTTTCCTCTCAAACGGCATTGGCAAGCTATCAGGAGTCGAATAAGGCGTGCGTGCCTGAGCCCAACGGCAGAGAAGCGCGCTGGTGTCTCCCCCCGGGACCTCTGTTGAAACTCCACGAAGGTTTCCCAGGGCCAAGGGGGTGGTCCTGGCCAGGGATGGTGGTGCGCAGTTGCCCTCTGCGGGTTTTCTGTGGCCGCGGGTTTTGTTTGCTGTCTGGAGCCGGCTCCAGGGCTGAGGCAGTGCACGGTGGTTCATACGAGAAGAGATCCTGCTTTATGGGGCACGCTGTTCGGTGGATAACCTGGACATCGCAGACGGCCCATACACACTCCAGTGCGTCTCCGTTGGGCACCTGCTGACAGGCTAGACTCTTATTCGGAATGCCTGCTGTGGTCAAACAGACATGCACCATTGAAGGGCAACGAGATGGGGACTGGCACAGAGGGTGGAACATCGACCTGGAATCGGCGATACATTGCTGATAGATCGGCGATAGGCCCCAGATGGCGAATCCGCAATTTCCTGAGCGGGGTGAAGCTATCGCACCCCTATCTGGGATTAATGGGCGATTGGGTGTCGATGCATCCCCCCTGAGCCCATCCCCATCGACGTCCTTGAACCATGGGTTCCCACCCAGGGCGTGATCCTGGCAGGCTCCGGCATCCTTCCCTCGGAGGTCGGCTTGCCACCCATCAGGACTTCCTCCGGGGGGCCTGGCCTGGCATGCTCAAGTGCCGCAAACGGTCATCCGCCGGATGCCCATTGGCAACTCGAACAATGCTATCCCTCTTCGCGCACGGGCAGCGGCGCCCTGTGCCCTGACCAAGGCGCCGCCTGTGGCGGCACAGACGGAAACGCCCTGTGCGAGCGCACGCAGGAGCGACCCCAGGCGCCAAGCCTGAGCGCGCAGGCCAGTGCCGAGGGGATCCCCCTGGCTCCGCACCAGAGGTCACTCCGGCGAAGGGCCACTCCTGCGCCATAGCCGAACCCGCGGAGGTGGCCGTTTTCCGACCCTTCGGAGGCCACCCGCGCGCGCGCGCGCGCCCGCGCGCGCGCGCCCGCGCGCCCGCGCGCGTGCGCCGGCTCGCGTGAGGGGGGGCGATAAGGGCGGCCGGCCCAGGTGGGCAGCATCGGCCCAGGATCGGGGGTGCATCGCCGAAAGGGATCGGCGACAAGCCCCGGATAGCCAGTCTGGACGTTCCTGGGCGGGGCGGGCTGTCGGGCCCCGATCGGCGAGCGGGGGTCGATGCGTTCCCCCTCGAGTCGGCTACACACGCAAGGAGTGACCCTGGGCAAGAGTGCCCTTTGTATCGCGACTTCCGGGGGCCGCGGGGAGGCCAAACCCGAGCGCGCAACACGCTGCTAGCGCATCGCGTTCAACCATCTGCCGAGCAGGGACCGACCGTTCCGGCATTCCTACATATAGGCCTGCCACGAAATGCTCTGAGAACCCCAGAATGTTCTAAGAACGAAAACAGTGTTCTTAGAACGTAGACCCGATGTGCTAAAACAAGACGCTCCCAGCCAGAAATGTCTTAAGAACATGTCGTGCAGACCACAAAAGGTTCTTAGAACATTCCCCGGCGTGTAAGCGACCTATGAGCCTATCCCCTGGCGGCTTTCGGGCCAGAGCTCGGGCCACTGGCGGCGGTTCGGGATGCCATAACGACCTGACGCGGTGGCTTACGCGCCAATGCCAGTGAAGACGAACCCGTTCACCTTCGTTGCTCCCCTGACATTGCCCCAGCTCGCTGCCCCCGCTCACCCCCGGAACGCTGTCGGCGAGGCGCAGCTGCTGGAGGAGAGCATCCCGAGGCCGGAAAGCCGCCGACGACCGACGAAACCGCCCGACAACGTCGAAGCCTATGTCCCCCCTATCGCTGCCCCTGACCCTGACGCTGCCCCGGCTCACCGCCCGGCCCCGCGGGGCCGCCGCTGGGCCAGACGGAGCCGCGGCCGACGGGCGGGCTGCCCCGCAGCCGCGCCACGACGCGAAGGAGCCGCGGCAGCGCGGGCTCCCGGCACGTAGGGGCCCCGGCGCCCCGCGAGCGGGCGCGGCCTTGCGGCAGGGCCTGCGGTCGAAGACGGGGACGACGACGAGGACGACGAGGACGACGCCAACAACGAGGACGACGACAACGAGGACGACGACAACGACGACGACAACGACGCGGTGCTGGACGGGAGGGCCGAGGCGCGCGGGCAGGCCTCCGCAGAGAGGACGTTAGACGGTCGGGAACTCTTGCTTTCAGCGTGTCGCGGCGGCGGCCCCGGCGGCGGCCCCAGCGGCACGCCATCTGCCCTGCGAGCGGATGGCGCGTCGCTCCGCTCCGCGGGACAGGAGGCCGCGAGAAGCTCAGGACGTTGACGCCCAGGGACTGGGAGGTGGTTAGCGTGTCGCGCCGAGGCGTGGTGGGCCAGAGCCGGCGGTGCGACACGCTAAGCCAGCGTTACTGACAGTAGGGGCAGATCACCAGCAGGGGGGTTCACCACCTCGTCCTGGAGAGTCGAGAACAACCGAATGCTTGGAATGCAAGGCCGCTGAAGCATGAAGGCTGTCGACTGGATATGGCACTACAGCTGGTAGATTCTGGGGGAACAACAAAAGCCTGCACGGTCGCCAAGGCAAGATGGCCTCGCACGGTGGCCTCCGCGGGAGGGCAACTCGCATGAGGATCGAAGGAGGGGGGGAGGACAGAGGGTCGAGGAGGCTCTGGACGTCTCTGGGTGCCTTTCTTGGCGGCGCGCACAGGAGGGTAGGGTGAGGGGGGAAGACTTCTTAGGAGCAGGCTGCGTCTTAGAAGGCGCCGGCCATGTGTACCTATGGACAAGGCCCGCGCCTTCTAAAAAGCAGGGGTGCTTCTAAGAAGCCTTCCCCGCCCCCTACCCCGCTCTGCGCGTGGCCGACTTCTGAATCATTGGGGAGGGGGTCTGGGGAGTCCCGAGGGCGGTCCGCTTCCGGAGGCCTCGGACAACCCCCGAGGCCACCGGAATCAGGGCTGGGCTGGCATGCATGGCCGGGTGGGCCAGGCAGGTCGGGCTGGGTGGGCCCAGTGGGCTGGCGGGCAGGGAAGGGCGGCAGAAGGCCTCCTCCCCGTCCCCAATCCGTCGAGCTGGAGGAGGAGGCGACCCCCTCGGCTGAGACGAAAGCAGGACCTGGACAACATCGAAACGGAACAAGTCGGGTACCTCCGAGAGGCTCTGGAAAAACTGTCGGGCGCCGCGGCTTCTCCAGGGCGCCCCAGCACGCTCAGAGGACGTGCTGGAACCGGGGTGTGCGTCGACGGGGGTACAGAACTCGGCCTGACCTAAGGAACGATACATATGGAACGAAGCCCTTTTTTTCCAAGTAAGTCTACGAAGTTCGAAGGAACACCGGGGGGACTCGCCGCCAAAAAAGTAGCGGAACGCATGCAAACCAAAGGAACGACCTAGCCCCTTTTGGAAAGTAAGTGCTCCTGTTTCAAGCCAGACCCTGTCGGGCAGTAAACGTGGGGTGAAGGAACGTGCGCTTTTCGCACACCTTGTGGGACTGCGGTGACCGTTCGGGGCACCTTTAGGGCCACTTTCCCGTAATCCTCGATCCCCCCCCCCGTCTATCGCCCACCCGTTGCCGTCCGCCCGAAGAACGCTCTGGAGCGATACATCGCGGTCCTGGGCCAACCCGATTCGCCTAGACACCCGACGTCATGATTTTTTCCGACATGGACCCCCAGCTTGTTATCCCGAGTCGACTCGGGATATAAAACTACAGGTTCTTGACGGTCCTGCGGCCTGGCGGGGGCTCCCAGAGGCTGAAAATTCCACCAGCCCTCGGGGCGTAGGTGGTCTGACGATCTCTTCGCTTCCTCTTCCAAAACCCTTTTTCCCCTCGGGGAGGGTACTCTCCTCTCTCCTCCCAGAGGTTTCTGGGGGGGGGGCGCGAGCGGTCAGGGCGCCCAAGATGGCCCAAGATAACTCCAAGAGGGCCTCTGATGCTTCAAGAGGGCCTCCAGGGCGGCTCAAGATGGCCGCAGATGTTTCAAGATAGCTTCCGACATACCTCTAAGAGGCCCGATGGAGGGCACAAGACGATTCCAAGTGCTCTCGGGCCCGCCCCATGACCCCCCCCCCAAAAAGCAAACATCACTGAACAATCTTAGGAGCATCACTGATGTTTGCCTTCTTACCTTCTGGCCTCCGATGCGCGTTTGAAGCCTTGAGATGGGCCCAAGATGGCCGAAGAGAGCCCCAAGGGAGCCCAAAGGGGCCCCCCAAACGGCCCCAAGAGCGCCCAAGATGGCCACAAGAGTGCCCCAAGAGGCGATTTTGATGGCCCCAGGGAGGAAAAGCAAATCGAGGACCCTCCCCCTTGATCGACGCCCTGCAAGATGGCTCCAAGAGGCCTGTCAGGGCCCCCAAGAGGGCCCCCAAAGAGCCCCAAGAGAGCCCCAGGAGGGCTCCAAGACACCTTAGCCCCCCGGGCCTTCCAAAAGAGCCCCAAGAGTGCCCCAAGAGTACCAAAAGCAAACCCCAATAGGCCCCCAACAGTGCCCCAAGAAGACCCCAAGATGGCTCAAAGAGTTCTTGTACTCGTTGTCCTCCTCTTCGTCTTCCTAATCCTCGTCCTTGTTCTCCTGGTCATTTTAGACGCACTCGTCTTCGTCGTCGTCGTCATCTTCCTCGTCGTTGTCCTCTTCTTCCTCCTGCTTGGCCTCGTCGCCGTGCTCGTTCTTGCCATCGTCGTCGTCCTCCTCCTCCACCTCGTCCTACAATGGCAGGAAGGAACATTCTCGCCCACGATGTCTCCAAGAAGGCGTCCGACGCTCCAAAACTGACTCTTAGAGGCCGTTTTGGAGCATCTCGAACCATCTTAGACTAAGATGGTTCAAGACCCTCCACCCTCCTCTCCTTGCCCGCTTCGTTTCACTACGTGTGTCTATTTCTCCCGTTTCCCGTGAGTTCTCACGGGCAACGCTTCTGAATGGGCCGGCGAGGATACACTGAATACGTGCCGAGTAACACAGCACCTTCCGTCGTGTCCTTGTGTTTCACGACGCGCCGCTTAGTTGATGATGGCTTGCTTCTCGATGGGTCCCCGGTGCTGCCCCCCCCCCGTCGGCAGCATGCACCGCTCCGCCCAACCTTGACCTGCGAGCACACCAGCCTCTGGCGCCCGAGGCCGCCCGAGCGCCCCTCAAGGCGTGGACTCCAGAGGCGGAGAGGCCTCCTCCCTACTTCTCCTTCTGCGACCGCCCTCCTTCTCCTCCTCCTCCTCCTTCTCCTCCTCCTCCTTTTCTCCTTCTCCTCCTCCTCCTCCTCCTTTTCTCCTCCTTCTCCTCCTCCTCCTCCGCCTCCTCCTCCTCCTCCTGGCGCAGCCCTCCGGCCCTCGGAACGTTCTAGCGACCGCTAGCGCTGCGGACCGAACAAAGCATGTTTCACGCCGCGGGGGGTCTGGGACAGGGCTCGAGCTAAACAGCGTTTCTCGTTCTCGTCTTGGTTTCTTTCCCCTTGTGTCTTCGTTCCGCCTTTGCTGCGAATCGGAATCAACACGAAAGCGGACCATGAAATTGCCAAAACACAATTTAGCTCGAGCCCAGAACAAAACACGTTTCACGCCGCCGGGGGGTCTGGGAACGCTCTGGAGCGATGCAGCCCGGCCCTGGGTCCGCCCGATCAAGGGCGGCCCCCACCTGGGCCACAAAAAGAAGCGGGTCTGACGCGAGATGACATATAGCGACCTGACGCGGTGGCTTTCGTGGGCCGCCAGCGCGGCACGCGATATTGGAGACGAGGGCAGTTACTCGCGACTGCACGCGGGAAGCTTACGCGCCAACGTCGGTGAAGACGATCCCCCCCCCCAAGAAACGCAACCAGCAACACGCAGTGTGTCGACACGGAGCTCAGCACGGAGCCTGGAAACGTAGGCCTGGCGCGACACGCTCGCCAAAACGTGGACCAACACGTGCCGAGCCAACACGCGGCGCGTTAGCATAGGAAAGAGGGAGGAGGGAGGGAGGGGGGAGGCGGGAGGCGGGCGGAGGGAGGAGAGAGGAGGGAGGAGGGGGGAGGGAGGAGGGACGAGTGAGGAGGGAGGAGGGAGGAGGGAGGAGACGAAGACGACGACGACGAAGACGACGACGACGCCCAAGAAGGCTAAAGGCTAAAAGCTACAGGCCCTGCTTCCACGCGTCGCTCGCCTGGGCACCGCCTGGGAGCGAGTAGACACGGCGGCTCAGGCCGCAGCCGCGGGGCCGGCGCAGTCCGCGCGGTGGGCGGGCCACCGCGCCCGCTGGCAGGCCTTGGGGGCAACGGTAGGGGGGCACTGGTCGACCGATGCTGGGTCGCTGGCGGCGTTCCACCGTGAACGCCGGCGGAGACCCGACGCGAACCAACCGTAGCGCATCATGCCACGATGCGTGTGCGCGGACAAGAAGAGAAGGGGGGGCACGCAGACACGCAGACATGGATTAGCGATCCTTGGATGTGGCGCGTGTCCACAAAATGCGGCCGGTGCCGCCTCGCTCGGCGGCGGAAGTCCTCAATTTTTCCGATGGAAGCGGGACCCGTCGCTCATCCACGCCCCCTTGATCCATGTTTGCGATCCCCTGTGCTGACACATGGAGGGATGCATCGACCTGGAATCGGCGATACATTGCCGATAGATCGGCGATAGGCCTCCGATAGCGAATCCGCACCCTCCTGGGCAGGTTGGGGCTGTCGGGCTCCTATCGGCGATCAATGGGCGATTGGGTGTCGATGCATCCCCCCGTATGCCCATCCCCCCCTATCGTTGCCCTCGAAGGCCTGGCCGCAGTACTTCACCCGCTGGCACCTCCGGTCGTCGTCGACGTCGTCGACGCCGCTGCCGCCGTCCTCATCGCAATTCGTCGCCGTCGCCCTGGTCGCCGTCCTTGTCGTAATCGCTGTCGCCGCCGCCGTCGTCGCCGCCGTCGCCGCCGTCGTCGTCGCCGTCGCCGTCATCATTGTCCTCGTCGTCGCCGTGGTCGTCGTCGTCGCCACCGTCGTCGGTCGCCGTCGCCGTAGTCGTCGTCGGCGATGTCGTCGCTGACACCGAGGGTTTTCGAATGCTTTTCCAAAAACCGGAACCTCCAGGGGCTAGAAGTACTAGTCCTACCACCGTGAGAACCGCACCCTCGGGATAATACAATCCGGGGTCCTGGGAGCATGCTATTTCGTTCCTGGAGATATCGCTGCTGGGATGCCTGAATCGGGCTTGGACGACTTCCAAACTGATCTGGAGAAGCCTTCCCCTGGAGCTTGTTCGAAGGAGTTGGGTGAGCACGAAACCCGGGAAACCCTATGGTCGAGTGATCGGAGATTTCAATGACTTGCCTCTGACTCGTTTTCCTGCAACCGTGTGGCCTCCAATGTGTCCAACTGTCGCTTCGTCTTGCCACGATCTCACTCTCGCGGTGACGTCTTGGCTTCAAGCTCTATCCTGGGGGCCCCGCGGCGGATGGGCGCCCCGTGGTTGGCGGCCGGTCCGTGGGCTGCCTCGGTCGCGACCGCTTGGCTCACGCAGTGCCCCGCTTGCCCAGAGGCGCGGGTCACGTGCGGGAGCTGCCCCGCGTGCCCGCCGTCGCCCGGCGGTCACTTGCGGGACCTGCCCTGGCTGTCCTGACTGCCCGACCTGCAGCCTAGCCTGCGGTGCGGGCCCCGGCTGGTGGGCGGTGAGCGCCGCCTTGGCCGCCGGCCTGCTGCTCGGCTTCGGTGGCATCGGGCTGCTGCGGGCTGCTGGCTGGGTCGCCGCGCGAGCGGCGGGGCTCGCCACTGCCCGCGCCGAGGGCAGCTCGACCGTCACGCTGGTGGTCGAAGACTCGGAAGCGACCGACGGCTGGGCGCGGGCTCGCTTTGGGGGAGTTCGCGCTTGAACTAGCTCAGGGGCTGGATGGCCCAGCGCACGCTCGACGTGCCGGAGTCGCAGGCATGCGTGAATTTCGACGACGACGACCACTTCGGGTGGCACCACCGACTCCTGCTGGTGTAGCTGAGCCCGGGCGCCTGGGTGGCGGCAAGTCCAGATGGGGGGGTGCTCGTGCTCGACCTCAGCGGGCACCTGGTCGTGGCGCTGCGCCGAGCGTCGGCCTTCCCTGCCAGGGTGCGCGGCCAGGTTTATGCTTCCGGGGACCAGAGCGACGAGGACATCGAAGCGCTCCGGGTGGAGCCGCGCGGACTCGCCATCGTGATCGGCGTGGGCGCCCCCACGGCTCCGCCTGGGGCTACCGTGCCGCGGTGGATCGTCTCGGACCCAGGCTCTCCCGACTTCGGCAAGGAGCTCGACCTACAGGTGTCGGGCAATCCAGAGCGGTTGGTGTATCGCGACGCCGTCGGCATTGCGATGATCAGCGAGGAGGAGGGATGGGTCTCGGTGGAACACGTCCAGGAAGCCGACGAGGACTGGTGCGCGGAGAAAAGGCGGGGGCAGGGGCGGGATCCTCGCATCTCGCCGCTCTCACGACGCGGGCCAGGCCATCAGCTCATGCTCTCGGACGCGCCAGGCAGGATGAACTCACTCGAGGTCTCCGACTGCTGCTGCGGCGGTGGCGACCGGGCCCACGCTCACGTCGCACTGGGGGTCTTGGGTCTCGGTGTCGGGTGTCTCGCGAAACGCAGGCGTTTCGCAGGAGACGCGGCACCTCCTGAGTGTGCTGCACCATGCCGTGACATTCGACCTCTTGGACACATCGAACCTGGCGTCGTTCGAGTTGGTGGGGCGCCGTGTGCTTCAGATTCAGCGCGCGGTGAAGCGGTGCCCTCGTCACCCGAACTTCGAGGGCCTGGGCCTGATGTTGAACAGCTCTTTGGACGAGAGCGGCGGGGTGGTGGCTTCGAAGTTCGATGCCTTCGCGGCCGAGAAGCAGCGTGCAAAGGGGGTCATTCTCAAGCAGGAGCGGCTGCGCCGCGAGGAGCAGGAGTCGGAGGCGAAGAAGTACGACAGGTTGGGCGACGATCAGAGGCCCGCGAAGCCAGACCCGAAGGCCAAGGCGAAGCCGAAGGGCCAGGGGTTTGGGAAGGATCAGGGTTGACGGCGCCATGGCGGCGCCGATGTGGCTGGGCGCTCCGCCCGGCCCCCCCTCGCCGCGCTCTACCAGCGCAGCCGCGGATGCGCGTCGAGCTGGCCGGCCCATCCGAGGGGGTATCCTCCGAGGGTCGGACTCAGTCCACAATGTTGCTTCCTCTTCCTCAAGGCGATGGATTCTTTCGTCGGCCTCGTCGAGAAGAGCGTGCCGCTTTGCCTCGGCATCTGGCCCAACGTACTGCTCGCGCTGACGACCGCGACCGTCGGTCTCTCGAGGCCGCGGGGGCGCTAGACGCCTTGGCGGCCGCGCGGGCTGGGGGGCGTCTCGAGCCTCAAGCGCCCTGCATGCAGACAGAGGCCGTCTACAGCTCAGCAGTCGGTCATCAAGCGGGCCCGACGTCGTGTCCACGGTTTCGGCGAGCGCCCGAAGGACATCGACTCAGCTGGAGCCCTGCAGGAGCTCCTCTAGCGCAAGGATTTGTACTCTAACCTGGGCGAGTGTTCTACTCGTCGCGACTACGATGCTGACAAGCTCAATGTTCTCAGACGAAGTCCTGAGGATCGACCTCAGCAGCTTCGACGCATCACCTCGAGGCACGTCGCTGAGGTGCTCGACAACTTCGACTCGGACGTGGCGCGGCCCGTCGCCGCCATTCCTGAGGAGGAGGACATCGTCGAGCCGTGCTGGGACACTTTGCTCAATCCTCGAGACCCTCGGAATCGTGGACGTCTCGTCGACTTCCTTCGGCGCCTCGCCGCTCGCGGGCCGGCGGACGGCCGCCGATGGCGGAAGGCGTGCGTCAGCGCACTCTTCGTGGCCAAGAAGATCGGGTACGGCGAGGCGCTTGGATCGATCAACCTTCTGGACGCGATTGACGCGAGCCCCGAAGACCTCGCCGACTTCGACGGCTGCTACGAGTCACTTTGCGCTGGCTCGGTTGACCTCATGGGCGGCTTCCACCAGTTTGCTGACCCGTCCTGGGGGAGCTGGATGTGCTTCGATGTTCAGGTCACGGCCGACGAGCTCGGGCGACGCGATCTACGACGAGAAACACCAGCGCCAGGTGCCCGTGGGCCCCGACGAGCCGCTCCGGCCGTGCTTCGCACCGCTGTCCATGAGGTGGAGCTGGGCGCCCTGGATCTACTACGAGGTTCTCGTCGACGCGATGGATCTGGCTGGGCTTCCGCGCGACGGCTGGTACCTTGACAAGGCTCGTGCGCCGGCCCTCGTCGGGCAATCAGTCGTCGGGGCGCTGCGCGTCGACAACGGGAATCTCATCTCGCTCAGCGCCTCGAAGACCAACGACCGGCTTGCCAAGCTCACCGAAGAGCTCGACAGGCGCGGCTTACGCTGGCGCGAGCTGGAGCGGGCGCAGCCGGGTCTCGTCATCCTGGGGATGGTGCTCGACGGGCGCGAGGGGAAGCTCAGGCGCACCTCGAAGCGCGCGTGGCGGCTCTACCTCTCGCTGCACCACGTGCTACGGGGGCCCTGCCTGGCTGGCGCGCTGGCAACTGCGGCGGACCGTCGGTCACCTGGTGCACTACTTCTCGGTCCTGCGGCCGGGTATCAGCGTGCTCGGTGCCTGCTGCGCCTTATCGGCGACGGCGAGCTGGCGCCTGTGGCCCGACTACCTCCTGATGTGCTTGGGAAGCTCGCTACGGCAGCGGGCCTCGTCTTCTTGGGGGAGGTCGACCTCTGCCGCGTGCCGTCCGACGTCGCCTTCACCGCTGACAGCCCGCTACGGGGCTACGCGGCGTGCGAGGCGAAGCTGGAGCCTTGGGGGGTGCTGGCTATCACCCGGTGGCGTGAGCGGCAACGCTTCGTCGCCGCCGAGGCCGAGGCTGCACCCGACGACGAGCTCTACGAGGGCCGGGCCGCAGACTTCACCGACCAGTCGGAGCCGCCGCCGCTGCGGACCCCGCCGAAGCTGCGCCGCGCCGCGGCGAAGCGGCGGCTCAGCCTGTGTGACAAAATGTCGTCGGCCATCGCCTGTGAGAAGGGCAGGGCCACCAACTTTGAGTTGCCGGCGCAGTGCAGACTCGCTGCGGCGGCGCGCCTCGGGCGCGAAATTCACTGGCGCCCCCGGCGCGCCCCTGGCATCTACAACGTTACTGATCGCGGGAGCCGAGCTGCCGACCGAGGGGAGCTGCGCGCAGGCCGCCATCGAGGGCGACGGGGCTCTCATGGCGCCGACGCAGCTCAGCCGCCGCGAGCTGGCAGCCCGACCCGACGCCAGAACAGAGCTTCAGATCCAAGGGAGGGTGGCCGACCATGTGCGGCCAGAAAGCTACGAGCGTCCTTCTACCCATGCATATTCAGCTTCTTCTTTCCATCATCCCACGTCCCTCTCTTTGCCTGAGTGTGAGAGAGATCAGATGCAGCCAGTTCGAGACATTCGGGTCCGGGTCGACGACTAGCTACATGATGGGCATCACGGAGTACGCGATCACGGACGACCCTGGCGTTGCCGACGCGACGGGGTTCAAGGGGCCCCTGGAGGCGATGCACTTCCTGGAGATCCCAGAAGCCTTCTGGGTCAAGTTCCTCAACCACCTGCGGGTCCTCGACAGCGCCCCATCGGACGTCTTGGGCAGAGTGGCGGTCTACATGGAGGGCCCGCAGAAGGTCCTGTACCACACGGGGTTCTTGGGCATCATCATGGCCCCTGTGAGGGCCGCGGGCGTGTCTCAGGGCCTTCAGGGCCTCGACCGCCTCGCAAGGCCTTCTTGGGGCTCGTCGCGGGGGCTGCCGACCTTCCTGGGGCACGCCGCGATCGCGGCTGTTGGGCCATGGCTCCTATGGGCTCCAAATGCGGACCCCACTGTGACATCGCAGACCGTAGAGTTCAGCGTCTGGTGCTGCACTGGCTCAATTCTGGCGAGCTCAGGTGAGCCCATCTGGGTCTGCCTTGCGCGTGTCGTTCGAGAACCCCCCCGCCAGCCGAGCGTGGCGCTGGCTGGCGCTGGAGCGCGAGCTGCGCCAGCTGGCCTGGCCGAAGGTGTGCTTCGACTCCTGTCGGTTCGGCGTGCCGTTCGAGAAGCCAGGTGCGATCGCTGGTGGCCTCCTAGGACTCGGAGGACTCGCGCTGCGCCGTTGCTGCGCAGATCGGCACCGAGTCGAGCTACGGGGCAAGGTCAAGCACCCAACGCGCGGCTGGACGTGGCGGACCACGCTGGCGGGCTCTTACCTGCCGAGCTGGCCGCGCGACTCGGGGTGACCTCCAGGTCAGGGCTCATGCGCTGGAGAGCGCGGCAAGAGTTGCAGAGCCCAGAGGCGTCTCGGCGCCGGTCTGCCCACAGCGCTTTCGGCCCCCCCGGCGGCCAGGATGGCCTACGACGCTCGACCCGCGCCCGAGAGGCCGATGACGCGCCACCCAGCTCGCCCTGGACGCCAAGGCGGGTGCGCGGCGCCGCGATCCGGGGCCGCCACCCCTGCTGCTGCCGCGGGCGCCGGCCGTGCTGCTGCGCAGGTGCGACGCTCGTCGAGCTGGCGACCGCGGGCGGCCGGCGAGAGTGACGCTGGAGATGCGCCCGCTGCTGCGAGGGGTGCCTGCGCTGGCCGCAGTGCAGGGCAGGCTCGTGTGGCCGCGCCTCCCCCTCTGGCCGTTGCGGTTCGACGGCGGCGGGCGGAGGCTGCTGCCCGCGGGGGCCAGGCCGCCAGCCAGCGCGACGCGGCGCCGGGCGATTACCTGCGCGTGGCGAGCCTGCGGCCTGCCACGCTGTCCAGCTACCGGTCCGCTGTCGTCGAGCTCACCGAGTATGCCGAGCGGCGGGGGCTGTCGCTAGACACGCCCGAATCGTCCGACGAGGCTCTCAAACTTTACTTCAAGGATCTGTCCTCCGCGGGTGAACCACAGCAAGTGGGAAGGATGGTGCTCTACGGTCTCTGCAAAGAGCGGGGCTGGGCGGCAGCGAGGCCCAACTTTCAGAAGGCCAAGGACGCCCTCGCGGGCAGGTCCTCTTAGCTGCCGCCGTCCCTTCGTGACCCGCCTCCTTTTGAAGCAGTGCCACTCACATGCTTGACGCTTGACAACGGGACTAGCACCGACTTGCTGGTTGCGTTAGGCACTTTAGTCCAGTTTGATATGTACTTTCGGCCTGGTGAGTTGCTAGCCATCAAGCCTGAAAATGTGTTTGGCTCCCGCGCTTCAGGAGCCGCAACAGACATCACGGTCGTAGTTGCGCCTTTGGGTGAAGGGAAGCCTGCTAATAACAGGGACTTTGACTGTACTGCGAATGCGGGGACAGCACTGCCGCTCTGCAGGCTCGTCCCCGAGATTTTGTTGAGATTGAAGAAACGTGGTCGTCGTCGTCTCTCTCTCTCTCTCTGCCCTTCCTTTTTCACCCTGTCTCTTTACCCCAGTATGAGAAGATGCTGAAAGCAGCAGCCGTCTCTGCAGGTGTGGGCGACCTTCTGTCCGTGCCTCACCAGCTGCGCCACGGAGAGCCCTCGCACGACGCTTTGAACGGCGTGCGGCCCATCGAGGCCATCCAGCAGAGAGGCCGCTGGCGAGCGAAGGGGAGTGTTCGAATATATGAGAAGCACGGCGCTGCATTACGCCAGCGCTCAAAGCTCACCTCCGAGCAGATCGAGCGTGCCCGCCTTTTCACCGAAAGCCGTGCTCGAGATATCCGTCACCGTGTGTGCGCGTATTCTCCATCACACCAGTGCTGTTCAGCCACGCTCGGCCCTGCCGCTGCATGGTTGTTCTTCCCCGCCCGCCCTCCCTAGGGCATTTGTTGATGGGGGTGGGACACGAGATTTTTGTTGTGACTTCTGTGGAGGTTTTTGATGCACGATCTGGCCATGGGCAGTCCTTTGTTGAGAACCTTCCGTGGATGCCACGGCGCTTGCAGCTCAGGGACGTCGTGAAAAATGTGCCCGAATCCAAAGTGCTGCCGCCCGTCTCCGCGACCCCTCGGGAGGCCACGCCTTTAAGGTAGGAACGAATTGACTCTGATTCGTGTTCCTGCAGACGAGTGGCCTCGAATGTGTCAGATCGTCGCTTCGTCTTGCCACGATCTCATTCTCGCGGTGACGTCTTGGCTTCAAGCTCCCGCCTGCCTCCCCCACACACCACGAGTTCTGTGTTGCGTGACTCCTGCGGACGTTTTTGATGCACTATCCGGCCATGGACCGTCCTTTGTTGAGAAATCAGTGTTTTGGACCTGTCAACTTCGAGCTGTAAAGATACAGGGTTCTTGGTGGCGTTTTACTCTTCGTGTGGGAATACTCATGGCTGCTCTTGGGGGGTGATGCGCAATGACAGCGATGAAAATCCAACTGGGGCGCGGAGGGAGGAAGGAGGGGAGGGGGAGTAGAAGGATGAGGAGACAGTGAAGAAAAGGAATATAAGTAAGAGGACAAGTAAATAAGAGAAGGAAGCAAAGGCGGGGAGGAGAAGGAGAAGAAGGAGGAGGACGACAAGGCGAGGGAGGAGGATGAGATTTCAAGATAACTCGCAACTTCGAACCAATGAACATCTACTTGTACGTAAGACTAAAATATTATTTGTGGTTGTGTAGGAATACTCATGGTTGCTTCTTGGGGCTGGTAATGAATGTGGGCATCAACAAGTTTAGCTGGGGCGCGGAGGGAGGAAGAAGGGGGGAGAAGAGAAGGAGATAGAGGACACATGCAATCATAGTAAGAGGAGAACTACAGAAGAGAAGGAGCCCAAAGGATAGAGAGAGAAGGAGAAACAAGTATGATAAGCGAAGTGGAGGCGAAGGATTGCCAGAAACATCGAAGTGCCGGACCTTTCGCAAGGAACGAAGAGGAGAAAACTGATGTCCAGAAACATTTAAACTTTCGCGATAGCTATTCTTACAAAACCAAGCGTTTTGCTTACTCAGCGAATCTTCGAAAACTTGCGTTTCGCCTGATACGTCCGCACCGAAACCAGATTCCTTAGTAAAGTACTCCAAGGTCGCGCTCCTGAAGCCAGAATCCCTGGTAACAAACACCAAACTCGCGCTCCCGAGGCCAGCATCCTTTGCGACCCCCGAGGCAACGATCCTTTCGAAATTACGCCAGATTCGCGCTCCCGAAGCCAGCCTCTTGTAAATGACGTCGCGATTACACACCGTCCGCGCACGAGATTCACATACTTGTGGCGCCCAGATATCCCAACATAGCTCTGGCACGTGCACCTTCACAACAAATCGTGGCCGTCCAGACTAAGCATATAGCCGGCATTGAGGCGAGATCACGGTTCCTCAAGAAATGGTGGAATTTCAAGCGAACCGGTTGCCTGACAAGGCGATCTATAGGGCGGCGATCCACGCCCTCCCTGTGGGACTCTTCTGTTGTCCTGTCGTGTCGCAGTGAGAACCCTCCAGCAAAGCGCTTTCAGGAACAAATATCAAAAAGCATGTTCCCCCATAGGCCCCCGTCTTCTTCTTCTTCTCCTCCTCCTTCTCCTCCTCCTCCTCCTCCTCGCCCTCCTCCTCCCTCAAGCATCGTCTCCTGGGACGTGCACGTTCTGAGCTGGATTTCGGCGGGGATCCAGCCGTGACGCCGGGAAAGAAGCACCTAGGCCCTGGAGACATCGCATCCTTCGGAGATCTGGCGCTGCGCAGTCGTCTGCCGCGCGAGGCGGGGGCGGAGTCGGCGCATGCTCGGCGCGCCCCCGCGGGCCTCGTGCAGGCCAGGAGGCGCCCGCGGCTGCGGCCGCAGTGGTCGCAGAACTGGCAGCCCGCGGCCAGGCGCCCGAGGCTGGCGCCCACCAGCCCACAGATCCTGAGCACGAGGCGGGCGGCGCGCCATCGCTCGGACGTCCCATTGCCCGTGCATTTGTCGACTTCGTGCGTGCTTCTGTTGCCAGAAGGTCTAGGATGCTCCCCGATGGCCCTCGCCGAGTAAAACCGAACCCGTCCGAGCGATGCCAAGGCGGGGGGAGAACGCTTTGGGGAGCGTGCAGGCTCCAGGGAGGAAGGAGGCACACATCGAGCTCCCCTCGCCCACTCCTCGCCGACAGGGGCCCGATGGCCCACTCCGCCCAGGGACGTCCGGATGCGCTATCGGGGGCCCATCGCCGATCCATCGTCGAGAGAGCGGTGATAGGCGATAGATCGCTGGAATCGCATCGCTGATCGCTGATAGGTCGGCGACAGGTCGCCGATAGGCGATAGATCGATGATCACTGGAATCGGCGATACATCGCCGACAGGTAGGCGATAGGCCCCCGATAGCGAATCCGCATGTCTCTGGGCGGGGTGGTCTATCGGGCCCCTATCTGGGGATCAGTGGGCGATCGGGGGTCGATGCGTCCCCCTCTGCGCCAGTCCCCCCCACACCCCAACCTTGACCCTGACGGCTGTACATCATACCCGCGCCTTGCCAAGGCCGTCCCTGGGCCTTGCCGCGGTGTGCCGCAGGCTCGAGTCGTGGCGGTCTGTGCGCTGGCTCCCTGGCTCCACGTGGAACGTGCAGCCTTGAACGATCGCGGCCTTCCGATCGGAGGTTCCAAGATGGGGTCCTGAGGGAAGGGATCCAGGGGTGAATTCACGTGGTTGGAGGAGCCTCGTCCTCAAGACCCCATCCCTCAGGACCCCATGTTTGAACCACCGATCCTGGGGAGACCAAAAGGTACCGATTTACGTGGGAATTGCGCTATCGCTCGAAACTTCCTTGCGATTCAATTTGGATTGACGCTTCCGTGACCCGCCCGATCGACACAGCCGTCTGGGCCCGGCCACCTGACCTGCCAATTAAGGTCCGCCTGCCCGACCCGCCCGTCTGGTTCTGCCGTGTATGCTCCTGTTTGAGGCTCAAAATGCGTTGCCGGCCCCGAACTACAACTACAACAACAACCGCAGCAACAACAACAACAGCAACAGCAACAACAACAACAAGAACAACAACAACAACACCACCAACAACAACAACAACAACAACACCACACACACACACACACTCATTTTGAGACTGTTCGCTCTTACCTGCTCGCGTGCCATTCGACACGTGAATCCCAAACCCTCGATACCAGCCCTCTTCGTCGTCGATCGCACCGCCTTAGAGGTAGATATTTCTTACATGCTACGTGTATTTCGTGCAGCCCCTTAGGCAGGGGAAAAGAAGACGGATGGAAGGAAGGGACAAGGGGGAGGGAGGAGGATGAAGCACGAGAGAGAGTAGCAGGAAGGGGGGGCTAAGAACAGAAAACACGTGGCAAAACCAAACGGGCAGATCGAGCGGGTAGACCCTAACGGACGGGGGGCGGGAAGGCAGGCCCAGGCGGCCAGGTCGAGCAGGCGTGTTGCTGAAGCGTGCGTCCTGGATGAATCGCGAGAAAGTCTCGAGCGATAGCGCGATTTGCAAATGAATCGTTAGAAATCCACAGCGGGAGAATGATTCTTGAGAGCGTCGAGTGCGCGGCGTCTGAATACGCTGTGAGGAAGTCCCACGCGAGAGCGCGATTCCTGTACGTATAAATTGTGAGGACTTCCCGCGCGAGAGCGCGATTTGGATACAAAATTCTGAGACAGTATCAGGCGGGAGTCGCTGTTGTTGTAAAACGGAGGCCAGGGGCCCAGTTTGGTGACACCTCATTTTCCCTTGTAATAAACAAGATGCGAGCCCTGGGATAAACACATGTATTAAAGCAGTACGCAATGGTTACCGGGCAAGGTTGATCATCAACAATTACCTTCAAGAAATGAAAGTTCCATGACTTTAGACTGTTCGCTCATATCTGCTCGCGTGCCATTCTACACGTATATCCCAAACCCTCGATACCCGGCCTCTTCGTCTTCGATCGTGCCCCTTTGGGGGTATATCTTCCCTATTTGCAGCGCGTGGTTGGCGCAGCCCCTACAACAGGGGAAGGCAGAGAGGAGGGAAGAGACAATGGGGGAGGGAGAAGGATGCAGTACGAGAGAGATTTGCAGGAGAGGGGCTAGGAGCAGAAAGCATGTGGCAGAACCAGACCGGCATACTGGGCGGGTAGAGCTTAACGGGGGGGAGGGAAGGCGGGCCCAAGCGGCCAGGTAGAGCAGGCGTGCTGCTGAAGCGTGAAGACTGGATGAATCGCGGGGAGAGCTCGAGCGATAGCGCGATTCCCACGTAAATCACTAGAAAGGCCAATGCGAGAGCGCGATTCCTGAGTGTCGAGGGCGCGGCGTCTGAACCAGTTGCAAGGATGTCCCACGCGAGAGCGTGATTCCTGCATAACTTGTGAGGAAGTCCCACGCGAGAAGGTGATGTTGCAATACGTACATTGTGAAGAAGTGTGAGGCGAAACCGTTGTTGTTGTTTTAACTCGGCGGCCAGGGGCCAAGTTTGGTGACACCTCGCTTTCCCTTGTAAGAAAAATACCAGATGCGGGCCCTGGGAGGAGCTCTTCACTTGAAACAATGCAACTTGCCCTTGGGAGGGACAAACCACAAAATGTTTTAGAACTTAAAGCTCGACAACACCAATCAGTTTAAGACTATTGGCTCCTACCTGTTCACGGGCCAATCAATACGTACGTCCCAAGCCCTCGGTACCCGCCCTCGTCGTCTTCGATCGTACCCCCATTGGGGGTACAGGAATCCATCGGAATCCCGAGGGAAGACTTCGGAATCCCTCGGGCGTCCTCAGGAAATCCTCAGGAATCCTTTGGGGATCCAAAGGGGTCCTTTGGGATCCTTAGGGAATCCTTAGGAAGCCTTAAGAATCCTCCGGAAATCCTTTAGAACTCTGCAGAATCCCTCGGGAGCCCCTGACGAATAGTTAGGAATCCTTCCTGGAAATCCGAAGGTATCCTTCAGAATCCCTCGAGGATCCTTAAGGATCCCTCGGGAATTTCTGGGGGATCCTGCGGGGATCCTTAGGGAATCACTAGCACTCCCTGAGGCGTCCTGAGCACTCCCGACGAATCCCTGAGCCATTCATAAACAATTCCATATCAGCCAGCGTTGACCCCAAATAGCTTTCCCTTGTAAGAAAAATACCAGATGCGGGCCCTGGGAGGAGCTCTTCACTTGAAGCAATGCAACTTGCCCTTGGGAGGGACAAACCACAAAATGTTTTAGAACTTAAAACTCGACAACACCAATCAGTTTAAGACCATTGGCTCCTACCTGTTCACGGGCCAACCAATACGTACGTCCCAAGCCCTCGGTACCCGCCCTCGTCGTCTTCGATCGTACCCCCATTGGGGGTACAGGAATCCATCGGAATCCCGAAGGAAGACTTCGGAATCCCTCGGGCGTCCTCAGGAAATCCTCAGGAATCCTTTGGGGATCCTAAGGGGTCCTTTGGGATCCTTAGGGAATCCTTAGGAAGCCTTAAGAATCCTCCGGAAATCCTTTAGAACTCTGCAGAATCCCTCGGGAGCCCCTGACGAATAGTTAGGAATCCTTCCTGGAAATCCGAAGGTATCCTTCAGAATCCCTCGAGGATCCTTAAGGATCCCTCGGGAATTTCTGGGGGATCCTGCGGGGATCCTTAGGGAATCACTAGCACTCCCTGAGGCGTCCTGAGCACTCCCGACGAATCCCTGAGCCATTCATAAACAATTCCATATCAGCCAGCGTTGACCCCAAATAGATTCGACGACTACAATCAAGGAACCATAAAAATCTAACATGCTTGGAATCCGAAACTCCACAAGCAAGCAAGCGTGCAAGTAAGCGCGCAAGCAAACGCGCAAGCAAGCAAGCAAGCAAGCAAGCGTGCAAACAAGCAAGCATGCAATAACGCAAGCAAGCAAACGCGCAAGCAAGCAAGCAAGCAAGCAAGCAAGCAAGCAAGCATACACAAGTGGGGGGGCATTGAAAAAAAGGAGGGGGTAGGCATAGGCATGGGCATAGCCATAGGAACTAGGGGGGCATAGGAATTAAGGGGGGGGGGCACAGACTAATTAGTACGGTTTAAACTCGGATTCCTATAGGGTAAGCCTACTTGGAAAATAGCTCTCCCTACGGAATCCGTAGCACTCCCTGCGGAATCCCTAGCACTCCCCATGGAATCCTTAGCACATCCTACGGAATCCTTTGCACTCCCTACAACATCTTTAGCACTCCCTGCGGAATCCTGAGCACTCCCTACGGAATCCTTAGTACTCTGTACGGAGATTGTTAGCACTCCCTACGGAATACTTAGCACTCCCTAAGGCCTAAGGAATCCTTCGCACGCTCTACGACATCTTTTACACTCCCCACGGATTCCTCAGCACTCCCTGCGGAATCCTTAGCAACCCCTACGGAATCCCGAGCATTTCCTGCGGAATCCTCAGGCCTCCATGCGGGATCTTTGGCACTTCCTCCGGAAGCCTTAGCACGCCCTACGGGATCCGGATCACTCCCGACGGGGTCCTGCGGGATACAGGGACGCACAGGAGCGCCACAACGGCTGCGTGCTCTTAGAAATCCTTTTTGGGGATCCTAAGGGATCCTTCAGAATCCCTAGAGGATCCTCAGGATTCCCGCAGGAATCCCTAGGGAATCCTTCGGAATCCATCGGGAATCCTCCGGAAACCCTGAGCACCCACAAAGGATCCCTTAGCACTCCCAGCGAATTCCTGAGCCATCCTTGCGGAATCCTTCGCACTCCGCACGGAATCCTAAGCATTCCCTGCGGAATCCTTCGCACTCCCTACGGAATCTTGATCACTCCCAGCGGAATTCTCAGCACCCCCAACCGAAGCCTTAGCACTCCCAACGGGATCCTTTGCACTCCCTGCGGAATTCTTAGCACTCCCTACAGAATCCTTAGCACTTTCGACGGAATCCTTCGGAGTCCCTACGGGATCC